ACTCCAGAGTCATTGCCCAGCACTCAAACCATTACACCACACTGGCTCCACTTAAAGATACTACCTCTCTCCATATGATACCTAGATTAATAGTAGGACTAGCATAATATAACAATAATTATACACAATACAATAATATTGTGCTAAGTAGGACTAGCATAATGCAACCAGAGAATATATGCTGCTACCACTCTGGGCACACGGATAAGCATGCTGCCCACCAGCAACCAGACTACCTAATAACTTGTCAATATTAAGGGATGTTATTTCAGCTTCTCACTGCAGAGAAAACACTGCAACTCCCTTATCAGGAATTCTGAAATCTGAAATATTCTAAAATCCAAAATGGTCCACATGGGTGGCTGAGATAGTCATGCCTTTGCTTTCTGATGGTTCGGTGTATACAAACTTTGTTTCATGCACAAAATTATTTAAAATATTGTGCATAAACTTACTTATGAGCTATGTGTATAAGGTGTATATGAAACTTGGGTCCCATTTCCAAAATATTTCATTATGAATCTGCAAATATTCCAAAATCCCAACCCCCACAAAAAAATCCAAAATCCTTAGCATTTCTTGCCCCAAGCATTTTGGTAAAGGAGACTCAACCTGTACTATCAAAAACCATTCAAAGATACCCAGGGAAGGAGATCATCTCCTGATTTTAGGCTATCGGTGTCATTGCTTAAGTAGACAAAATGGCACCTTCTGTATCAAAGAAGCTAGGGCAGAATCTTGAAGTTTGCAGAATTACCAAAGAAATGTATAGGGAATCTGACTTAAGCCAAAATAACAACCACAACAATCCAATGAAGGTAGAACATATTCCCTAGACATGAAAAGCTGATGAAGGTGTAAGGGGATAGATGGGGGAAGGTATGGAGTGAACAACCAGAAGCACACCACATTGATAAATGTAACTGCAAGCTCTACTAATATATATTTTAACAACCTTGATGACACTACAATACTTAGTCCCAAAGAATCACCTTGGAGAAGGAGCTCCACAGTGCAAGGGCCACTTGCATTTCATTGTAGTAGAACATAATCTCCCTACGGTAGCAGTGACATCTACATAAAGAGTTGGGACTTCCCATTTTAGCGTACTATTCTTACATACACTTTGAAACCAAAGAAGGGTACACATTAGATGGCAGCTGAGTGATCATAGCAATACCATGGTTTAAGTATAGCTTGATTTTTTGAAATGTGGGTGCTAAGAAATTGTAAGTACAAATGAGTACTACTTTAGGACATTTTAACCAAATAAAATACATTTCAAAGATTTTACAGTATAGATTCATTAAATTAGTGATACTACGTGATACTAAAGCTGGAATCCTCATATGTAAGGTTATATATTTATTCCTTAGCTATTAGATTTGCCAGGTGAAGTAAATGGCAAGCCTCCTATTCCTTTAATGATTGTGCAGGAGAGTCAGCACAACATAGTGATTTGAGCATTGGACTGTGACAGCATTAATAGAATCTTGATTTCCAAGACAAGGGAAGTAATAATCCCACAATATCCTGCATTAGTCAACCTCATCTGAAGTATTGTGTTCAGTTCTGGGTGCCTCACTTTAGGAAGAGTATAGACACTGAGAACTAGCATAGTATAGTTGTTTGTGTAGACTATGATTCTGGAGACCAGAGTTCAATTTCCCACTCAGCCATAGAAATCCACAGGGTGACCTTGGGCAAGACACACACTCTCAGCTTCAAAAGAAAGCAAAGGAAAGAACAACTCTGAACAAATCTTGCCAAGAAAACTCCTTGATAGCCGTAGGGTTGATGTAAGTCTGAAAAAACATGAAGTCACTGTACAAGAGGGAATTTCAGGTGTCACACAAACAACACCTGCTAAAATTGCCTTTTCTACACAGTCATTAAAGGGACATAACTCCTACCCCTTATTTCATTGAGTAATCTTACTAGCTATTTGTTCTTGTTGTGTGCCTTCAAGTCGTTTCCAACTTATAACAATTCTAGAGCAAACTTATCATGGGGTTTTCTTGGCAAGATTTGTTCAGAGGAGGTTTGCTATTGCCTTCCCCTGAAGCTGAGAACATGTGACTTGCCCAAAAACACCCAATGAGTTTCATGGCCAAGGTGGGAATTGAACCTTGGTCTCTAGAGTTCTAGTCCAACACTCAAACCATTATGCCACATTACTCCAGAGTAAATGGATCACATATCCTTTAACTCAGTAATTATTTCCTGGGTTGTCAATGTGCTATATTAACAAATCAAAGTCTACTGAAAACCACCACAGAGAGAGATTACTAGCCTTCGCTGATGGAATTCCATCTCTCAGATACAGATCTGTTGACACAGGTTGAACAAAAGTACTTTCTGTTCATTGGTCTGAAGTGAGTCACTTAAGCTCACCAGGTAAACAGCAACTTGGGCAGATACTGCTTTCCTCCCTAGAAATTCAGGAGGGGGGGACTAGCTAACAGGAGCAGGCTTGAAGTTTTTGAATCACATCATTCCTGCATTTGCAACAGTTCTCTTACCTGTTTAGGGAATCCAGCTCAGAGAATCCAGTCACTCCTGGAGAAGGGAGTCCCAAACACTTGGCTGTACTGCACTTGCAGCCAGAACAGAAGCTGGCTCTCCAAAAATGAAAAGCAAATCAAAAGGAAGCCAAACCCAGCGGGATGTTTTGTAGAACCTTAACATGAAAAAGGAGGGGAGAAGCCTCTCTCCATCCCACTCCTAAGTGCCTGAAAGGGACAGTGCTTTTAAAAGAGTAGTATTTGAAAGAAACAGAGCAAGAGAGAAAAAAGTAGGGGGAGAGATCAAATACCTAAACTCCAAAGATTCCACAGCAGTTACCAAAGCAAAGAAATGATGTGCCCCTGTAGCTTAGACTGAGGCTAACTTTGGAAAGATGGAAAGCACAAGAGCAGGAGGTGGTTTTGGGAGGGGTCTGGCCTCTGGAGGGGGAATGAGGGTGTGTGTAAATCAAGAAACTTTAATTAGAAGAGGGAGTGAGGACAGAGATAGGTAGGCTATAATCCTGAACACACTTCCTAGGAGATAAACTGTATTTAGTGCAGTATATTTCCTCCTGAATATGGTGCATTCCCCATTGAATGCAGTGGGATTTATGTTTGAGAAAATAAGAGAGTAGTTATGAAAAGTGAGCGCTTTGCCCCCAAATTTCAGCCCCTGATGAAATTTTACTTTGGATCCCAAATTTCTAGCATTGCAGAGGGTGAACATTGTTCAAAGCTAGAACTTTTTATTGGCTTTGTTCACATATCCTTGGTGACTGGCCGCATACACACTGCAGAAATAAAGCAGGTTGACACCACTTTAACTTCCAAGGTGCAAATGCTATGGAATTCTGTGATTTGTAGTTCAGTAGTTCGGCTCTGTCAGAGCTCTTTGACAGAGAAGGCTAAATATCTTGCAAAACTACAAAGCTTCTTATTTCTGCATTAACTTTCAATAGCACTGCAGTGCTTGGTTTAAAACAAATGTTTTTGGATTCTGTACCACACATACGATCTCCAGCTTCCATTACCTTTTCTTCCTGCTATGTGCATGTTAGGATTTGTTTTTGTCTTTTGTTGAAGTCTTACCACTAGAGCTACTTGCAAGATTCTTTGAAAGATTTCTGACAATTCTTTTTAAAAACTCTCTTCAATTGCTTTAAATTAGTTGAGTTGATTTTATTGTACACTGAGATATTTAGACATGGAGAGAGGTTGGTTTTTTGTTTGTTTGTTAAC